ATAAAATATGTCTTTAATTAAGCAGTTTTAGATCTTTGCGACAATCTTACATTACAATTACGTATTATTCAGTTGCTTTGGTATCAAATTCTATGTCTTAAATTAAAAAGAAATGCTCTAATCTTTCCCCACCATTCTTCAAAAGTGAATTACAACATAAAAATGTAACGTGTCCCACTAGATTTTGTATTGAGCAGCTCAGACCTCAGGAACGTGTGACACAATCTGTGGGGAGGAAGTTCACAGCTTTGTGACTTCTGCTGTCACAGCCTTCTGGCTTTGGGCTGGGCACTTTAACAGGACAGTTATCAACATGCAGCTGTCATGGTGAAGAACTACAAGCATGGTTATATTGTTAAGATTTTGCAAGAAAAAAAATCAATTAAAAAAGAAAATGTTAGTCACTTGCGTACACTGACTAAGAGCGCGCTGAGCCCACTGTGTCAGCGGTGAGAGGGGAGAGAAGGCTCCTCACATCTGCAGAGAGCACGGTCCCTGAATAAGGGCAGTCAGGACATACAGTTCCCTCAGCACATTAGAGAGGCTGGGGAAAAAAGGTACTAGTCAAGCTGCAAAATAACAAAACCCACTTGGTAACCGATGGGATACCCCTTCCCAGCACCTCTCCTTTCCATTAGCTGCCATTAGCTTGTTCCTCCTGCAGCAGAGTGCTGCTGCCCTCACCGCCGCACCCTCTGCCTCGCTCCTGTCCGTACCTGTGCACCTCATGCAAGGTCACTCAAGGAGTGGCCTTCAGTGAGTAAAGTTGACTAGAGCTGGTAAAGAATTGCCTTTTAAAACAGAATAATCAAAACCTGGATCCCATAGCTATGAAAACCCCAATGTTGATGGGGTTTAAAATGGTTCTAAGCTACATCAGGTTTTCTAAAGTCACTTCGCATTCTTCTATAGACATAGCTATATCCAGATCAAGCGTTGCAAAGGATTACTGTTTTCATGCAGAAACCTCTGACAGACATCAAGTAAATAAGTAAGAAACTGCAAATTTTTGATTTCTTTAAGTACTTATTCATTGAGGGTGAACTGCACAACACTAGAAGCCCAATCATGGACTAATGATCACATATTCATGCATGTGCTCTGGATTGAAATTAAAGTTATGCCAGTCATGCTTTGATCTTGCTACTGGAATTCTCCCCTGAGACTATCTACTTACTGGCCTTTGCTGTTTATTGGACGTTGGATCCCTCACATAAATAGTTCGTTCAGTTTTACGTACTGGTTGATTCTTCAAATCTAGCCCATCTCCATGCAGATTCTCTTTCCTTTTTGATTTTATACATCCCATATTTCCTGTTGGAATAAAAAAGGTATTAAACAAAACCATTATGCCACAAACCAAGCCACTTCCCATGCAATCATCTGGGCTATGCAGCAAAAAATATTCTTCCTTTTCATGCACATGAGTTCAAGGGGAGAATTACTGAAGGTTAGGAACACACACTGAAAGCTCTTTTCTGCTGCAAGGGAAAGAAATGGCTTCCTCTCTCGATCCGCAGCTGAAGTAAATATTTCAAAATAGCTATTTTTCACTTCAACATTTTCAGATTTATCATCTTCTCTGCACAATCCACACTCCTCCCACAACACCCTTTATATTTTCCTGATAACTTCTGTGAGCTTCAGAAGATATAAGAAAAAAAAAAATCCACAATTACTGTAGTGACAACTTATTTCTGTACGTTTTAGAGAGAAGGCTGCTTTGGAAGATGCAGGAAAAAATTCCAGTCCAAAGGATGAGAACTGCATTTGGAGTTAGCGATGCCTGTACCTCCCCACTTAGTTTTGCATATGCCAGTCTAGCAGGGAGCTCCGTTTGATTCAATCCCCTATCTCACATGAGGCTGATGACTTGTGCAGTCCCAGCTCCATGGCAGACACGCTGCTGTTGTGACCTTCAGCAATGAATCTCCTTGCTCAAACAGGCCTGTTACAGCATTCTAAAATAGCCAAGGTGTGTACTAGTGACAGCAAATCAACACAAAAGTATTTCTTCTTCAATAAAATTTAGAAGGATAATCCTTCTCTCAGGATGTGCATCCATTCTAAATCAGATAAGATACAGCTGTTAGCATCTACATGACTGGAACCTGACTGCTAATCCCATGATGTAATTACATAGTACTCCAGCAAGCATATATACAGCATTATCTCTATATTCCTCCCTCAGAGGAGAGTTATTATACTTACTCTTCAAAGAATCCACTATGAATGCTTTTCAAACCCCTCCATCCTTCCTCTCTCCCTCCTTTCAGGTCAGTGCTCTAATGCTAGGTTCACAGTCACATTTTCCCTTGCAGGCACACGCTCTCACTCCCCACCCGCCCTAATTAATCTTTAAAGCCAGTTGTTTGAAGAACAATGTAAAACCTAAAATAAGAGCTCAGTGCATATACAGGCTCAAGTAAACCAGCACTGACTAAAACACAGCTGGCAAAGCTAAAGCAGATTGTAACACCCTACACTATATCTCACTTTTACCTTCATCATCTCACTTTTACCTTCTTCAGGATAGGTAAGGTCATCACAGTAAACAGTTAAAGTAGTAGAGGTGTTCACTTGCAAACACAACTGTTTCAATGGGAGGATGCCTTACACACTCTAACCCTGCAGGCAAGAAAATTAGCCATGTTGGTCTGGGTTCGTATTAAGCCTCTGTACTTCTGTGATAATAGCGATAACAATACTGATAATAATCATAATCCTGACTAATCCTAGCAGCAGCACTCCCACATGGTAGGTCTCATTTTCTCACATTGCCTTCATTTAATCTCCAATCCTGCCACTGAGGAAGCATCACATAACGAGAAATGAGCTGCCCTATCCAGGGGCTGGATGTTTTCTTTTAAGCTTGAGAGGAGGGTGTCTCCTCTCCTACCATTTCTGCAAATTATCGGTCACCTATTGCCAACAAATCTTGGATGTCCATAACATTTCAGCAGTGATGTAGTGAACTGTGATGCTGGTTTAAAAGCAGTGTGAGAACTCATTGCTCCCCTTCTTGTCTTCTCTTGAAACAAAAATAAAAGGAATCATACAGAAAATCAATAGGCACTTGCCAGGCATCATCATCCTACAGAGGCAGAGAATACACTTTCCTCTTCTTGTGTGTCAAGCAAACATCTTTTATGTTTAATTTCAGTTTGTGAAAACACTCGTTGAGAGATTTTTCCAAATTCTTTACAAGGGTTACATACTAGTTGTTTCAAAATACTAAGAAGGAGTCTTTCCTTATTTATTTATTTATTTATGCATTCATTTATTCATTTATTTATAATTGCGGATATATAGATGACTCTCGTTCTGTGGTTAATGTTTCATAGGAAATTTCTGTACACCAACAGGCAGGCTGATGTTTGCACACTCATCCTAAACATCAGGAAGCCCAGTGTTTAATTACCTGCTCTATCTGCAAGATCAGGTATTTAGCCACCTAAGCTTAACCTTTTTGTTCTTGAATAGTTTTTGCTTTTACAGAACAAAGAGCTAAAGTGAGGACATAAGGTAATTTGATCTAAGCTGTCAGCCAAAAAACCCCTTTACCTATTGCTATTAGAAAGCTGAAGATATCTTTAGAGACTGCAGCTTGCCCAGTGCCAGTGTAAACTCAAAGAAAAGCATTTTTCACCAAGATTTTTTTCTGCAGCTTAAAACATGTGAACAGTTGTAACTTAAGCCTGCTGTGAGGTTGCACTGATAAACTCAAGGTCAGAATTTGCTCCTGACAGTAAAAACAAGGGATCAGTAATGCCAATGTGCAGGTGCTCTGTAATCCCACAGAAGTGTACTCGACGTCGTGTGAAATCACACAAATACAATATGCGACATAACATATGTGATGGCACCAAACAACAAGAAGATCTCGAGCCTCATCATGAAGCACTGGGTTTTGTATTTTTCCTCATGCGGATGAAATCCGACGATCCTCACAGGACTTTGGTAGGTCTACACTAGTAAACAGCCTCCAAGAGTAGGTACTGAAGCCACATACCTGCTTCAAGGAGGGGGTGGGTTATTGCGTCATTCATTCCCCAAAGAATGAACATTCAGTAGGAGCAAGACCATAGCAAGAGCTTACCTAAAGGTAAGACCTGCACAGCATGTTCCTGAAGCAGTCTGGTTCTTGCAGTCCAACTCTGCCCCGCAACATGAGCAACGGCCTAGCAAGTGGGGGCAACTGCTTCAGGAGTGGGATTCTGATCTAAACAAAATGCTAATGTAGACACAACCTGAGACTTTTAGCTTCTTAATAAGCCAAGTCTTTTAAATCTTGCAGAAGAAATACACAAAAAAATACATAATAACATAAACCGAATGTTTAGCATTTAATATATATCAATATAGTTATGATATATGTTATTTCTACACAAGTGTAGGCAGACAAGGGAGTCAAACTGCAGACAAGGGAGTCAAATACAGACAAAGTTGAAAAACAGCTTGTAAGCAGTAAAAACTGCATCAATGAGCACATGTTCTTTTGAGGCTGTGAAACAAAACATTTTTTAACTCTTCAAAGACCACAAGATCTTATATTACTGTACGTTCAGGACTGCACATTTAAAATTCCAAATCAGTCCTATGCCCAAAGCAAAAGTAACCTGGTTTCAAAAGCTTCTGCCAAGTTCTGCTGAGTTCGTTCATAATGCCAAATGTATGAAGTTCAATAAGACCAAGAGCAGGGTCCTACACTTTGGCCACAATAACCCCCTGCAGCGCTACCAACTGGGGGAGGAGTGACTGGAGAGCGGCCCGGCAAAGAGGGACCTGGGAGTGCCGGGTGACAACCGGTTGGACATGGGCCAGCAGTGTGCCCAGGTGGCCCGGAAGGCCAATGGCATCCTGGCTTGTATCAGGAACAGTGTGGCCAGCATGAGCAGGGATGGGATTCTGCCCCTGAGCTCAGCCCTGGTGAGGCCTCCCCTCGAGCCCTGTGTGCAAGGCTGGGCCCCTCACTGCAAGAAAGACACTGAGGGGCTGGAGCGGGTCCAGAGCAGAGCAACGAGGCTGGGGAAGGGACTGGAGGGAAAGTCCTGTGAGGAGAGGCTGGGGGGGGTGGGGGGGGTCACCCCGGAGGAGAGGAGA